CATCCAGCTTCTGCTAACGTCGCTTCTGTCTCTGCTTGCCGATATGGCAGGAATCACACGTCTTGAGCTGCCTGTTCGTGATGATCATGCCGCGCACGAGTCCACGATCCACCATGATCTTGAGATACTGAACATTCGTGTGTCCAGTCCGGTTGTACCACTGCTCGAGTGTGGCCACGCCGTCCGCGACCGTGTAATTGACGATCACACGCAATACACTTGGGCGTCGCGGAGCATCCGCTGGACGCTTCGCCTCAAACACCCAAATTCCTTCGTGAGGAACAGCAAATATCACCTGCTCCCCATTTTTGTAAGCACTGAATGTCGATGCTGCACGATCGAACGATATTTCGAACTTCTGCTTGGTAGTTCCGAGATGCATCGAGAACAGTCCGTGTGACGCGCCTTTCATGTAAAGTACATCGTCTAAAAAGACATCAGCCTCGGTGTCGCCCACCTGAGTGATGATCTTCACTCGACCAATGCCGGACGCACGAGTTAGCGTTGTGGCGGCCACACCAACGACATTAGCACCAATACTTTCTGGGTGAATCTCTTCGAGATGAACAAAGAGAGAGCGATCACCGGTCAAGTGCACATTAGAACCTGTGTCGAAACACCACCATGACGATTCCTCTAGTAGCCACTCGGCCCATCTTGTCATCCTCACTCTTCGTGTCCGGAACGGCCAGCTTCGGACTGACCATCGCAATACCAGCAGTCGCATCTAGCTCATCTTCACGCCTGTCTGCACGGACTTCGCTGCCGCGACTCGTGTAGTTGGACGGCTGCTGACGCCGGTGCGTCCCAGCGTTCGTCCCAGTGTTACCTCCACTGGTGGCAGCCGCACCAGGCCCCGCAAAACCATCGATAATAGCCGTACAGTCAGCCTGGAAGTGACCGATCCAATTGCACCGGTGACAAGTTTTGTTCCTTCTGTCACGCTTCGGTTTTCGCTGACCATCACCGTACTGATTATTCTTGCTCCCATTATGCCCATTTTGTTGCTGATGGCGAGCATCTGTGCTGCCTCCTTGCTGCTGCCGTTGGCCACTACCTGTATTAGTGGCACGATTTCCCTT